CGTGCGGCCGAAGGACGAAATACGGTATGGCTTATTGCTACAGCCAGTTAACTATTCATATATCGACTGTATATTAGCAAGGTAGAGCATATGAACGGGACATTTGGGAATCAGTGCAACTAATGTACATAGGTGTCGTATTTGTCCCTTAAAACGGAGAAGAGTATCCTCGAAACTTCATTATACTTCTGAATTCCTGTTCGGATACTGCTGTGTGTACCTACTGTGCTGTCCGGTCCTGTTTAAACTCATCCTTGATGTGGGCCGGCTATTTGCTTGGTATCTCTTTACAGATGGCACGGTTCAAGAAGTGGTAAATCCTGACAAAAGTGAAGAGCAAGTCGAGCAAGAGTCGTCTGCAGGTCACAACTTCTATGCCAAAACACATAACGACTACTATGTCGGTAGGTACCATCGTACGGTATTTATATTGGTGTGAAACATTGCTGCATACCTCTGCATACTTTTGCATACTCTGTACACAGTGTTACCGTGATAATAGAATACTGTATAGCAGGAAATTTTCGGACGGAATTTATTTTCGTACGATTTCGTACACTGCCTCTTTTGTACTAAAATTAATTCCGTACTAAAATTTGTTCGTGTGAAGTTATGTACACTATACATGCATACCGCATGCGAACACGTGCATTTAGCATGTAGCACTGTACGAAAATAAAATCCGTACGAAAGGTCGAAATTCGGCTTTGTCCGAAATTATTTCCGTGCGAAAATTTCCTGCTATACAGTAGATCTGATTTTTTGCAACAACCCTATGGGAAGACTGATCATGAGATGTGTTTGTGAGCGTCTACAATGCTGCTCAATGAAATCCTATGATCGGCAAGCAAGTACTCGTAAGTGCCACACCGGGTACTGTGTACCCCTAGACCTGGGGGGGGGGGGGGAGCGCTGGGACTATGAACTGGTGCAGGGCGCAACGTTGGCTTGATCGGAATTCATCTAGCAGACCTGTAGTTACAGACATATTGCAGGTAGTTACTGTCTCATTCCCTTTCCTCAATACCATCACACAATGTACAGCTATTTTTAAGCTTTCTGCAAGATCTGCCGTCATGCGATTATCAAAACTGTTGCAGCAACCAAATTCCGCATGGTGAACTCATGCAAGTCATGGCAGTGTATTTCAGCGGCCAGTGTATGTGAGTGGATATGAATGTACAGTGCGACTATACTGCTGCATGTGTGGCTAGCCGGCGTAATGGAGCCATCCTCCGAGTCTAGCCTACATGCTACAAATGCCTGCATTTGCACGATAAGCCTCATATACGTCGTACCACATTTTATGGGATGACCTTTTCTCTCTGGATATCTTCCCCCTCCCACTGTACGTATCTCATCATCTGGCACATCTAAACTGCATTGCTGGTTCTAGTAAACACATTGTCAACCATGTGCTGTGCACCTGCTTGCCGCAGGTGAAAGAGTTGACCGTGACTATGACTGGTCAACCTACCCAAGAAACTTCAAGTTTGGAGTGGAGACACCATGCGATCCGAGAGGAATCTATGTACCTGCTTCACTGCGATGGCTTCACTTTGCTGAGGAGTAAGTTTGTGGATTGCAGCACCTGATAAATTTGTCACGGAATTGCACAGTGCCTTTCGCTTTGTTCTTGTTTATTGCTATGCTGTGAAGGTACACCTACTGTTGTGGTCTGTCCAGGTAACCTATGCTTCATGCTCGTGCGCTTGTGTTATCCCTTTCAGGAAACGTGCAGCAAAACTGACCAATGACTCTGCCGACAAGTACCATGAGAAATATACGCACCAGCTGGGGAAACCCCTCGACCCGTAAGTGCAGCAATCTGAACTCAATGGTGAAATGTCTAGACCAAGTTGTGTGTGTGTGTGTGTGTATGTGTGTGTACGTGTGTGTACGTGTGTGTGTGTGTGTGCGTGTGTGTATGTGTGTATGCCTGTGTTTGATGCGGTGTTGCGTGCATGCCAGTGTAAGTTGAGAGGAGCCGTTATTTCTCGGAGTCCATGACTGTGTACAACCGGCTTACCATGATACTGGGACTATGGTATTACTGGTTTGTGCAGGCTGAAGGAGACGCGCAATCTGCCAGAGGATCACGTTTTCGGACTTCTCTTTCCACCGGACGAATTTGGTAAGCACGGGAATATACTTCGAAGTACAGGAGTGAACTTGTGTACGTGCATGCTGCCATGCCAGCGCAGACACCAGGCATAACGGCAACAGACACTGGCAGTGGTGAAGATGGCATTGCTATAAACAATGGACCATGAAAGGTTCTTAGGATGACATTCTGGTGAGGAAGGATAGACTAAGGGAAGCTCGAGCAATGCATGAAAGATGTACAGTAATATCCATTACTCTCGCACATTAGTTCATGTGTTGCTGCTCTTTTCCTCCTATTGTGTAGGTGCTGCTGATCTTATTCACAATCGTAAACAGATCAATTTTCTGCGCGGCCATGACAGACTGCGCGGTGTGGTGGCAGCATTGCGACACCAACTGAAGAAACTTAACTATCAGCGATTCTCTGATCTGCAAGCAGCTTTCCGTCACTATGATAAGGTGATACACGTGTGCAGTTGAAATGCTATCATGTGAAGAAGTATATCATCCTGAGAAGTGATTGCGGCATTAAAATGACGAAGATGGTTTTCAAGTGACTGCCAGACTGGTACAGACTTATCCCATTGCATTCCAGTATTGCATCTGGATGATTTATTTAACTTTCAGGAGACAATGTCTCAAGAGGGGGGGGGGGGGCTACACCATGATTGTGTCAGTGTCTTTGCGTCCAGGAACATGTTGCTGGCAGTTTATCACATGTTGTGTCCGTTTTATGCTGCTTACTGATTTTCAGAGAGGTACCGGGAAGATTGATGTCCTGCAGTTGCGCGAGATTTGCGAGGAATACGGCTTGCCAGCTGAAGATGACGTTCTACTGACCTTGGTTGATTGGTAAGCTGTCACGGCTGATCAGGCTCTGGAGTGCACACAGAAATACAATCAGTTCATGTTGAGTGCAATCTTTACCTACATGTTATCCAGCCACACATTTATTGGAAAACTGGCTATTGATGAGTAGATGCTTTGGCTTGGCCAGAAATTCGGTGTTCACCCAATTATAACATTTACAGAATGAGGTGTTCCAAATTTCCACAATACTATATGATGCCAGTCAGACCTCAGTTTTTTTGTGAAATTGGATGGTGGTGCAAGCAACATACTTTCCCGTACATTAATAACAGTTTACCGTCAATCCCACACCATGATCTTTGAGTTGCTCTTTGGCTGTTTTGTCTCCTACTATGATGCATGGCAGGTGTGATGCAGATGGTGATGGACTTATTGACTATGATGACTTTGCAGATTTCCTCAACTGGCGCTCTAAGATGCCAGAAGCCCCGTTGCAGCGGTTAATGCAGCCAGAATTCTCAGGTAAGCATGAGGTATTAAAGGCAGCAACTATTTCAGAGATACACCTTGAGCAGCCCAGACCTGATTTTCTAGCTTTTCACATCAAAGGGAGCTTGAACTATCACTTCATGTTCCAACTACATTTCATGGGATGTTGCATAGAAGATATTTGGTCGACTGATACAGCCATTCATCAACGAGGCTACCATTTCTATTCTAAGGTCTGCATGGTGCTTGGTGATAGTAATAGCATGGAGGCATGTAGTGACTGCGTACAATCACATGTTGATAGTGGTGTGAAGACAGGTTATTGCTCACTCTGTTGATAGCCTGACTGGGTCTACCAGCCTGCTCTTCTGGGCAAGCAACTAAAACCAACACATCGCAGCAGAATGTATATGTTGGGTTGCAAGCATTGAGAAGGTCCTACACACAAACTCAGATAAGATGTATTTCTGAATGTTGGGTTCCGTAGCATGGCCAACATGCTATACGGAGCACATGCCGCCGTATGGTATTTCGATATACTAGTCGTCACAATCTTATCCTGAGTGCAAAGAAGGTGTACTGTGAACGGCTTGCTACCACGTCAGTTGTGCTGTTGCACGGCTGAGCCATGGCAATTAGTAAAATAATATTGGTCCAGTCAACTCACGGCTGTCATGGGTTGAATCGTGATTTGCGCCGCAAGCAGTAAACTGTGAAGCACACGAAAACACAGAAATAGTACATGGTATGTGTGAACAGCACAGAGAAATAGTACATGGTATATGTGAACAGCACAGAGAAATAGTACATGGTATGTGTGAACAGCACAGAGAAATAGTACATGGTATGTGTGAACAGCACAGAGAAATAGTACATGGTATGTGTGAACAGCACAGAGAAATAGTACATGGTATGTGTGAACAGCACTTCAAGGGACAAGCTGAGCAGCATACCATGTCAAGGGTGGTGGGAGGTGTGTGGCCGACTGTGCATACGCAGAGTCATCATCATGTTGCCTATATAGAGCAATCACAGATTATTTGCTACCAAGGCTACTAAGCGGAATTGATTCAGCTGAGAACACTGGGTGATAGGACTGAAACCACTCAAACTTACTTGTCACAATCCTTCGCAGAACGGAATGCTGCTGTTTAAAGATGCTCCTTGATACATTTCTTGTACTTCTTTGTCAATATTCTCTCTGTACTCAGGCACAAGCAGGAGCCCGTCGAATCCGAGTAGCAATGCTGGTAGCGGACGCACAAGTGTTGCCTCAACACCACCCACAGCGGATGGCAAGCGGAAGAAGTCGGGTCGAAGTGTCCGTCAAATCGATCCCAACGTTGGTGGCTACTTCACATGGTCCAGACAAACAAACTCAGTAGTTGGAGGAGTGAGAACAGAAGGTGAGAATGTAACAGTGTTAGTACGGCAGTCACTCAGAGAATGTAACAGTGTTAGTACACCCAGCCAGTACTTATTATAGCTACTGGAAACTCAGGATTGACCTGTACTTGACCATCACCCCCTCCCCCAGGGGCGTAGGAAGCAGTTTAATATTGGTGCGGCGAAATTGTGAGAGGGGGTCCGGGGGTCCTCCCGCGGGATTTGTTTTTGAAAATTGGGCCTAAAAGGCCATAATTATTTTAATGCTACAGAATAATATGAGAAATAAGAATATGCATGCTGATGATACACCGCATTGTCGATGTAAAACATGGTACCTGTACAAGAGTCGACAAGCCATCAACAGGTTGGAAATGTAAAAAATAAAATAAAAATAAATCGAAAATTACTGGTCCGGCGACCGCCGGGCCTGCCGGACCGGTTCCTACGCCCATGTCCCCCTCCCCCCCCCCCCCCATCCCTCCCTCCTTCCCTTCCCAACACAATACAGTACACAATAATGCCCACCCACAGTTGATGGCAGGTCCTAAAAGAACCGACAGTGTATCAGTCACGGAGAACAGAACTTCGAGTGGCGAGTAGCCAGGACGGCGAAAATCTCGGTCGCAGTTGCAGCTGAAATACCGAAATCGAAGAGCTTTGCCAATAACCAGTTGACGAGGCTGGTTGGTAAATTAACTCCAATTCCTTTAAGGTACCAGTGCATGTAGTGCCTGCTGTCATTAGAGCAGCATACTGTCTATACTAGTTACCCAAACAAGTGTTGAGTGTGCATACTTCGAAGTAGGTAGCTATCTAGGTTGTTCAATTTCGATGTAATCTGTGGGTGAGAATCGGGGCTGATTCACATGGCTTCGCCAGCTATTTGGATTGGGAAGTTACCTATCCCTATTCTTGCACTGTTTTATTCAAACCCTGTCCACCATGTTTGCATAGAAACTCTGTGGATGTACATCCAGTACGCCTGTAGATTTGCGGGGTTTTGTTGTAACGAACGTACATGGTACATGGTGTATCATGAGTGTGTGTGTGTGTGTGTGTGTGTGTGTATGTGTGTGTGTGTGTGTGTGTGTGTGTGTGTGTGTGTGTGTGTGTGTGTGTGTGTGTGTGTGTGTGCATGTGTGTGTGCATGTGTGTGTGCATGTGTGTGTGTGTGTATCTGCGTGCGTTTGTGCATATGTGTGTCTCCTTCATCTTATCCCACGCAATGCAGGCTGGAGAAGCTATGGTGTACCAACAATAAGATCTGACCTGGCTGCACCACGGCTAAGAAGAGTTAGTGACCGAAGGGTGAGTGTGTCAGTAGTAGTATGAGTGATGGGCTACTGGCTACTGTACATTGGATCACGTGAGTATGATCAGTTCAATCAGTGCCAGTGGAGAAGTCTCACAAAACCAGGCATAGTGATATATGCCACGACAAAATCAGGTTTGCAGGTTTGCTTCATAATATATTTGAGTACACTATCACCTTTTGCTACATTCGTCAAGTGCAGTTTCAAGTGGTCAACACTTTTTGTTCATCAACTGCTTACTCAAGTTATCTGTACTCATACATGTACTTGTGTGTGTGTGTGTATGTGTGTGTGTTTGTGTGTGTGTGTGTGTGTGTGTGTGTGTGTGTGTGTGTGTGTGTGTGTGTGTGTGTGTGTGTGTGTGTGTGTGTGTGTGTGTGTGTGTGTGTGTGTGTGTGTGTGTGTGTGTGTGTGTGTGTGTGTGTGTGTGTGTGTGTGTGTGTGTGTGTGTGTGTGTGTGTGTGTGTGTGTGTGTGTGTGTGTGTGTGTGTGTGTGTGTGTGTGTGTGTGTGTGTGTGTGTGTGTGTGTGTGTGTGTGTGTGTGTGTGTGTGTGTGTGTGTGTGTGTGTGTGTGTGTGTGTGTGTGTGTGTGTGTGTGTGTGTGTGTGTGTGTGTGTGTGTGTGTGTGTGTGTGTGTGTGTGTGTGTGTGTGTGTGTGTGTGTGTGTGTGTGTGTGTGTGTGTGTGTGTGTGTGTGTGTGTGTGTGTGTGTGTGTGTGTGTGTGTGTGTGTGTGTGTGTGTGTGACGGTGTTGATGTCTATGTCTATCTCTTCCATAGAATTATGGCGATGAGGCTGATGCCAATGCCTTGATCAGTCCATCAATCTACTCACAAGCTGGGGTAACATCTCGAGACTTCTTCCAACCAAGGTCAAAGGAAGAAGTGAGCCAATCACAATGTTCTATTATTCCACATCTTAGAGTTTTGATCGCAGTAGAAACGTTTGCATCTGCCCCTTGATCCTTGCAGGTTTTAGTGTTTGTAGTGTTTGTAGGGAAAGTCGGTCTGTCTGACCTTGACATAGCAATGACATCTAGTTATGAGTATGGAACTTTTGATTGCAGGTAAAATTGGTTACGGCAACTGCCCATCCGTGCAGGCTTGTTGTGATATTTGAAGCAAAAGTGATCCGTCGTCATTGAACACAACCGGGGATAAAGAAAGTGTTCGTTTTGACCAGGTGACCAGGTGACCAGGTGGTGACCAGGTGACCAGGTGGTGGCAGAAAACATGTTATCGCATTGTGTTTAAAGCTGGTGGCAGACTGCAGGGTGCATCATGCAGTTGGGGAATGCCTTGTGACTGCATAATTATGGTGCTGCCTACCACAGTGCACTCTCTATCTCTAGCTTACATGTACGCTTATCGCAAGCTGCCTTGCCTTCACTTCACAGCGCGTCCTTCTCATTCATCTCCGTGCTGCTCTTGTTTGCTCAGATACGGAGGATATTTACTGCACTCGGTGCTGACATTACGGACAGTTCCTTTGATGAACTGTGGGAGAAGGCAAAGTCAGTGGATGTTAATGGCCTGGTAAGTGTATTAGTCATCCAACGTGATACACTGAGACAGTGAACATAGGCTATATGAACATCGCTGTACTTGCATCCCTGTGATTTCTGTGCGTATCAGGTAAGCATGGAATCATTCCGCGCTGTCTTGGAGCAAGCACACATTGAGCAGCTACAGCTCCAAGGACAGCTTGTATCACCGGGCAGAAGTAGGGAGGCAGCCAAAGAGACGCCATTGAAGGAAGCTACTCTGGCTGCTGCTGCTGCAGGGGAAGAATAGCTACAACACCTTCTATAGCAATATCATCATGATCATCATGCAAGAAAGTAACTCCAAGCGTGGATGCTTCTTTCTCAATCGTTTTTAAAAGGATTGTCCCACTGTGGGACACAGTAACATGCCGTTCTGAATCTGGCTCTGCAATTCACCTCATGATCTTTCTCAGTGATTCACCTCATGATCTTCCTCAGCACACTGGGACTGTATTGCGGATTAGAAACTTGAAGTGCACGTCACGTATGTAGATTGTTTCCGCCAATCATAATGCATTCCTATATTGAAGTATTGACAAGTCTTGATCCACATACATGTGTGCAAACAGGTGTTTCCAGTATGACACTCAGCCATCTTGCTTCCTCATTTGAATGTTCCATTATACATGTATAGCATGGAGAAATGAGTTGTAGTCATGTTAGCTCTTCACGTCTTTCTATGTGCCATATACCAGTAGATTCTGTCACCAAAGAATATACCGCGGACAGCTCTCGGATGTTTTCACCACAATGGTCCTGAAGCTATGGTCATAAAAGACCTGGCCCCGGGCCCATGGGCCACATGCGCAATCCACGTTCAGTGCAACTAATCTTGGTTTGTGAGCCGCATTCGGCAAGGATTATGAATATAAAATGTGGCCGGATGCCAAGCAATCAGTGTGGTCGAAGCATTCAATCAGGAGTATTGTGTTCATCAAAGGAATGGGAATTTGTTGTGGTCATGCTTGCTATAGAGTACTCAAACATTACAGATGAAAGGGTTGGGGAACCTAGAGTGTGCATAACAGTTAGATGACAAAGCAATGCCTATTTTATAATGTTACTTAGTCAAATGCTTACTTAGTATTTTTCATTAATTGTATGGTTTATTTCGGCAATTTTTAATTTCTCAAAGCCTTCACTGGGCTTAAATTGGTTATACTCGTTCAATACAGACTATAGCTTCTACAAGAAAACATAATAGAGATACTTAGGAGATGCTAAGCCTTCATGTCCTTAACTGAATTATTGTCGAAATGTCTCAAATCAGAGTTACATGCTTTTCGATCAGACTGATGACCAAAGTGCCATCAGTACAATAGTTTTGACTTTCACCATAATGGATTGCACGAAATATGGACGGATTTTTGTAATGAACCAAACAAGTTATTGGTACAAGGGAAACTTACGGTAATATTGAGGGGGATAATGTGGTAACGTATGTCAGTCCGTTGTTTGTCCCATCATCCGATGTGGATGAAAGACTTGCTGGAATATGGAGCCGGGAATCGGGATCCTTCTGGTGCAGTATCCCATTGCTGTCTGACGTCAGAGAACTACGGTGGCCCGGATGGGTATGTTTTTCTACTATCTTGAGGCCACGCTGACTCGGGAAATACAGTGCAATGATATCCTGGAGAGTCTGGAAAGTGCAACCCTTCAAACATCGTTGCCTGGCTGCTCCGATCAAAAGATGAGGACACCGTTTGCGTTGAGAACTCATTTCCCCTGGTCATCAGTGTTCCGGGATGAGTCTCTGGCGGATGTACTCGAGTTTGCAAGTTCGGAAGGTCCCTTTCCTGCCAGAAAGGTTGTAGCTGTTGAGGCATGGAGGTTGATGGCGATGGCCGGAAATCAATAGAGAGTGATGAACTACCATTGTCTGGTTCTATTTGTCCAAAGGAATTGATCAAGTGATGGAGAACATTTGATGAGCAGACTTTGGGTGAACATCGACGGAGACTTCCGGCATTTATCGTTGTCGGCACTGCAGCCATGTCGAGAGTGCAATATTGTTGAGTGAAGACTCGTCCTTTGGTAGATGCGTCGATGCCTCTATCATCATCATCATCTTCTTCTTCTTCCAAGATTGCTGTCAGGTCTTTGATGTAGTTGATAGCCATCTTGAGGGTTTCTCGTCGACTAAGATCGGGCGGGTGTACTCCCAAGCAAGCCCGAAGCTTTTGAAAACCATCCGCCAATCTCGCGATGCTTTTACGGGGCTTGGGTGGTCGTAGCTTGCCCGAATTGGACGTCGAGATCGTATTGGTCATTCTGGTAGACCAGCGAGAGATGCTGGGTTGATCTGACCTTGGTCTGGCGATTGCTTGCTGATAAGTACTGGATTCTCTTGGTAAAGCCAATGCAGTAGATAATGAATAGGGAGAGGCGGGGGTTGAGCCAGTTACAAAGCTAGATGACTCTGGCATTGCGCCAATGAAAGGAGATGAGTCGATGGTACCCTTTTGGTAAACAGAGGAGTGCTCGATTGTTGCGAAGCTGGCTGCATCAAACGATTCTTGAACAGTCCGCCGTTGACCAAGAGCATGTGAGCAGGGTGGTGTGCCCATCTTTTCTGCATGCAGCAAGGCTCATGAAACCGAGCAAGTGACCACTGTGGCACAGTTGGCAAATCAATTGCTTTTAAATCTATTCCGTCCTGATCAGTTGTATTTACCGCTCCGATAGGGTTGGACGAGAGTATTGGGCGATTATTGGGTGAAGGGCGCCGTTCGCATATCACTGTGAGGACAATGTTCCTAGATCCTGATTCGCTTTCCAGAACAATAAAGTAGCGATTATCCTTTATACTTTAGAATTAACCCTGAAGGTAATTGCACCATATCTCTGCCACGTGTACATGTATATCCCACGCGTTTCTGGAAATTCGTAACGCCAAACTCAGGCGGAAAGTCACGTGAACTCGGTCATCTAATGCATAGCCATAGATCTTAGTAATACTAATAAGCCAAAGAAGCTTCGAAGCCAGCTTGATGCCATAATGATCTAGTGAGGGCTGTGACTTGCGGCACATGTGAGTCACATGGAAATGGTCGTGCTACTTATACGGCGGCACTCTGTGCTTGGCTTTGGATAGACGGGGCGCGAGGAGATCTTGAACAGGGAGTACTCGAGTCGGGTTTGTACGACTCCTGTTCTTGAACATGCACCACCAACCTACGGTACGATGCCTACAAGTACAACAGACTTCAAACACACCGATAGCTTGTGATATCATTAAATTTCATGTTGATCTACAGGACATGAATATGTATGCACGGGCCGCAGCCATACTCACTATGCAGGAACTCGTGTACACGTACAGTCAGTGTACAATCATGCTATGCCAATGGTCTTGGGAATGATGGCCTAACATGTGCACGTACATGTAGCGCTCACCACCAGTACAATAAAGTATAGACAGCTGACAACAATAATGATTCTTTTGACATTCAGCAGACGATGAAAGGAGGAGATCTGGGCGCTTTGCCCCCTGGTCGACACGGGATATTAATATCATAAAATCTCCTTCTATCCTTCACAACACAGTACATACATGTAGATCTACCATGATGGTACGTCATGTTGTTTGAGTCTTATCTAGTAATACAATGCACATGTACAGTGCATGCAGTGCTAAGTAATTAGTTTGTGACCTTTCTACGTGCACTGTTACCTCATGATGATGGTTATCTCAAGTCGTCAAGGTCTAGCAAGGGTCTGTATACATGTAGACATGTAGACATCTTTCAACGAACCCTGCAGAAGCCTGTAATAAACTGAAAATTTTAAATGGTCTACAAGGTCATTGGTACATGTACGAGCTATTATTTACATACCTGTATGGATTTTTTGGTCATATTGTTCGTTCCGGCTGTTTGTCATTGACTGTTCTTCAGGCTTGTGTCGCTGGAGGTCGTGGCCGAGGCAGGCCCAGAATGTCATGGCTTGATAATAATTATTTCATGGACTGCACTTGACGTGCAGGCCCTGCTCGCTGCTGCACGCGATCGATTTTTATGGCGCTCGCTTGTTCATACTTGCTCTGTGACGCCCCGACGGCCTTAGCCTATGTGCTTGTGATGATGATGATGATGATGATGATGATGATGATGATGATGATGATGATGATGATGATGATGATGATGATGACTGTGATGATGAGGGGCATTGATATTGTTATGTGTATGATGACTACTATGCTAGTTTCCGGAGATAACAATCATAACATTACCAAAATACACAACCAAGGCAGAACGAATTCTCGCTATTGTAACATTACCAAATACACAACCAAGGCAGAACGAATTCTCGCTATTGTAACATTACCAAATGCATTTACGCGATCTAGACGCCAAATGCGAAGACAGTCGTAATGTACTTGCACTTGCATCCATACACGTACACGTACATGTATATGTATATGTATGTAGTATGTACTGTAGATGTTCATTTCCCATGAACAGCCGTGATGCGTACTTCCAGGTATACATTATTATAACTAAAGAACATGCCCAGCGACAGTTTACTGAACTTTCTTAAAAGTTTAACCTGGAAATGACTTACAAGTATTGCAGTGCTAGTTTCAATATCTACGAGACTGGCAGGGGGGGGGGGGGGGGGGGACTGAACGTCGGAACCTCCATACCAGGCAATCAAGCAACCGAAACAAGTACGTCATTGTATACTCCTGTATGTACAGACAAGCGGATTAGTTACAGTTTCATATTCCCCCAGACTGGCAATGAACAGTACTCAGTATAGCTGTGCGCTTGTGCATGCATTGCAGTACATTAGAGCAGAATGGGGGAAGGTGCTGTGGTCTGTGCATAATGGAGCCTACATGATTGTATAACCTTCACGTGGCGCATGACAACCACCCCATCATCACCATAGACATGGCATAGGATGTTGTGGACTTGTGGACACCAGTCACCAGTCATCACGACACTAGGCCGGAGATACATGTAGGTCGTTTAGTCGGTTTCCACAATCTTTACCCTTTAATAGTGTCCAAAAATTATAAATCAATGATTGAGGAGAACCCTCCGATTTTACCACACTGACGGTGCTCGAATCAAACTGGATCATGATCACTCCGGGATCGATCCCCTGGCTTGAATTGTAATCATGTACAATGTACATGATTGTACATGATGACTGGACCCAACCCTCAGCATGTTCAGTTATGTTCAGTTTTATGTTCAGTTATGTTCAGTTATGTTCAGTTATGTTCAGTTATGTTCATGCCATTGCTTCATCAGCAACGTAATGGTCATGTAGAGGCACTCATAGCGGTTGTGTCATGAAATGGGGTATGATGCCGCTGCCATTAGCTTTATCAATAGACTTACTCGTATGAGTCATAGACCCCAGACCGCCTGCTCTGCCTGGATCACTCCCCAGGTGCCTTGCATTACTTGTACATTCCTGCCACGACAGGCAGTGGATAGTGGTGTCATAGACGCACAATTGGCTCCTGAAATTATCCAAATTCGCCCTAGAAAATACTCGGCAGTGTCAGAGTCAATCTTCCTGTTGCCTAACGTTACACGTTACATGTACTTCCAGTAGCACAGTGCAGCACAGTGTACAGTGCAGCACAGTGTACAGTACAGCACAGTGTACAGTGCAGCACAGTGTACAGTGCAGCACAGTGCAGCACAGTGTACTACAGTGCACATGTGGCTGAGCAGGCGTGTCTGCACTCGTTGTTACAGATCTAGATAATTGACTG